AGCAAGGTCGAACTGCGCTCTCTTATGCCATCGAAAGAATGAATTATGATGAACGATATGAAAGTCCGGCACGAATAATCATTGACGCTGGTGCTAATGTTAACTTAGCAGATGATAAAGGACAAACACCCTTGTTTTATGCATTGAGGCCTTCCGCCGTACGCTTGTTATTAGACCATGGTGGAGATTTAACTCTTCGAAACAATCAGCAGGAAACCGCCTTGATTCATATTTTGTCTGCGAAAGATTATTTTCAAGATAAATACCCATATTTCGACTACTACGAATGGTCACATTTATGCGAGCAGTACGTTAGTGCACTGCTCAATTACGTAGACACTACTTACGTAAACGCAAGAGACATGTATGGCAGAACAGCTATGTTCTCTGCAGCTACAACAATTGATGATAGTGAAATGTTTGAAGTTATAGCGGCGATGCTTGTTCGCAAGGGGGCTGTTGTAAACGATACCGATAATAACGACATGAGCGTTTTATCGTATTTCATTGAGAGACATTGTTGCAACAGTTTTAAGGATAACAGAAATGTTTCAGAAAGACTATCATTTTTCATCAAGAATGGCATACGTAATTCAGCAATCTTCACCTCAGCATTGAGCTACTTGTATGCTATATTGCCAAACTACTTCTACAGTTCTAATACAGTGCTTAGAAGAGAGATGTTTCCGAATGCTATATCTGTTGCATACACATACGCTAGTCATGAAGAGCAATCTACTGATAACTTACATGCACTACTCGACGACGAAAGAATACCAGAAGCAATGAATTTAATGGTGATGTTAGGTGTCAATCCCAACAGTGCCGATTCGTATGGAAACACTGCCCTTCATTATGTCACTCTACTTCCATTCCATGGGGTATCACAAGAGAACGTAAAGAAAGTACTGAAGACGCTTAGAAACCATGGGATACGAACCAACATCAGAAATCAGGAAAAAGAGACGCCTCTACATTTCTGTCTTTCAGAACAAGCATGGAAACTAGCAAGCGARAAAGACACATGGAGTGGAATCATGACAGTGGTGGAGATTTGTGAGTTTCTTCTTCAAGATGGCTCGCTCATTAGTGAAACAACGAGAAGTGGAAAGACTGTGTATCATTTGATTATGGAATTGTTATCACATGGACTGTCTATGAATGACGTGATAATTCGAGATGTGATTTGCTCAAGTTCAGTTAAACTTCTTAAAATGTTTTCCAAAATAACTGGCGAAGATTTAAATGTCTTAAAGAAGATGGATCACAAACTTAAGTCTCCCCTACATCTTTGGGCTTCCTTATCTCTGCCGCCAAATCAAAAATACTATGGAGATCCTTTAACGCTTCTTCTTGACACCATATTCAAGCACTTATGGCAACCCGGAATGTCGCCAAACCCAAGGAATGATCAAGATCAAACATCTCTTCATCTTTGCAAGACTTGGACCGCAACCAGACTCTTAATAGAAGCAGGAGCAAAAGCAAATGTTGTTGATAGAGAAGGACAACCTCCTCTCTTAAATGTTGCAAGACATTCACTGTTGAAGATTCAACAGGGTTATATCTTTCCAGACGTCGAGGAAGACCCTAAACAGTTCTTTGAAACGTGTGTGTCATTAGGTCTTGATATATGGAGTTCTGGCAATGAAGGGCAATCCATGCTTAGCATCTTCCTGTATTTCGAGGCTTATGCATTGGCAAAAGCTTTGATCGATGTTGCTGTTGCAAGATGTGAATCAACCACAATCGTGAAGCAGTTGTTGGACGCTATTTGCAAAGATCAGTCCACRAGTACGACTTGGAAAAGTCTTCTTACTTTAACGCTTATAACCTCACCACAACTTGCCTCTAGCACCAATCTCGATGGTTCACTCCGCCACATTTGCACAAACATCGAAAAGCAGGTACTGGGACAGAAGCAAGAACAGCGTGTTGGAATTGAAGAAGGCAATGAATCTGAAGAGCCCCCAAATAAGAGACCGAGAATTGTTGATACTGAAAATCGCAGCACGCCGAAATCGAATGTCTTTTTTGATATTGGAAGACAGCTACTGTTTTATGGAGCCGATGGCAACAGTTTGTGTAACGATTTCCCAAAACTTCACTCCTTTTTGACGGCCGTAATTACTCCAGACCAAATGAAGGAAATAATTCCATGGACTTCGCATTCCACAAGACATGAAGACAAGCTTAGAGCAGTCTCAAGAAAGCAAAACGTTGCGGAGATCGGCAGCTACTGTTACCATGAAGAACGTATAGATAAAGGAGCCTTCGGCGAAGTTTTTGCTGGAATATGTAAGAACGATGGAAGGGAAGTTGCAATTAAGAAAATAATAAGAAGCAATGGTAAAGTTAAGGGTCAAGATAAAAGAGAGATAAGTAATCTTGTAGAATTGGCAGACTGTCCACAAGTCGTGAAGTACATCTCTTTCGATGTCAGTGATAAACACTTTGTGTTCATTGTGTTAGAACTGATGGAGGGGCATCTAGACGATTATTTTCCAAGTCCATCGTTTGATGCAAGTCGAAGACCAAGATTATGCCGTGATGTTGTACAGGGTCTGGCATATTTACACCAGCACGAGCCAAAACCAATTCTTCACCGTGATCTCAAACCAGAAAACATCCTTTACAAGTTTGATAAAGATGGCAAAGTTATCGTTAAGATAGCAGATTTTGGTCTCAGTAGTCCTCTCACGACTGGCAGGACAACTGTTCTTCATTCCAAAGTAGGTACCCGTTGCTGGAT